AACTTGGCTTACTCTTGCGTTACAAAGAAAATATCTAAAGAACACGTTTACATTGTGAGTTAACTGTCCTCATTTGTACACATTTACTGTTTACACTTGAGACAGTGGTTCTCAACCTGTGGGTGCTGACTCCTGTGGGCGGCATAGCAGACATTTACATTACAATTCAGGACACAAGCAAGGCTGCTGTGATGAAGGAGCAACAAAATAACTTTATGGGGGGGGGCACCACAACATGAGGAACTGCAGTGAAGGGTCACAGCATTAGGAGGGTTGAGACCACTGCTTTAAGAGATTCCAAGTGGCTGGTGGGAGTGGGGCAGTATGTTTTTTAGAGACAAACAGAATCAGGACACTACACAACACTTAGTTCAGGTTTTATTTTCTGTCCCCCTTCAGAGTCAAATGTATATTTGATACTTAAAAAAAAAGTACTAAAAATACTCAGAATGATTGGAGCTCCAGGCTTTTTCCATATAGCATCTCTACAGATAAACACTGGGAATGGTTGCACACAGGCCTCTGGGGAGTGGCAGCCCTCGGTCAAGTAGCTGGGAACCGATATTCTAGACCGACTTTAGGAGAGGGAAAAGGCCCAAGTGATGGGGAATGTCACATCAGGTTCACCAGGGGTTTTACACAGAAAACATGGAGCTGTGTCAGGAATGTGCAAAGTCGTCTATGTCTGGTTCCAGGTCACTATGTGACCTTTCCCTGGAGGCCTGAGAAGCAGGGAATTAGAGGTGGTCACTCCAGAGCCACAGTCAGTGGTTCCACGTTGGCTGGAGATCCTTGGTAGGAGAGACAGGACATCCTGAGATACAGCATAGACAGATAGCTGGGAAGAGGCTGTGGGTGGGGAAGAGGCCCTGAGACAGATGGACAAATGGACAGATGGCCATCCGGGCAGGAGCAAGCAAAGGGAGGCGGGAAGAACGACGTCACACCCTGGTGCTTCTGCCTCCTTGAGGCGCCAGAGTCAGGGACCCTATAAGATTCTGAGGCTGTGTGGATGGTTCTGCACATATAAATCCAAGGTTTGAGCATCTTCACTTTTGAAAACCTCTTCACTCCTCTGTGGACTGGATGATCAGACAGTTACAGAGATCTGCAGACAGCTGCTGATGGATCTGGGTCTTAAGTTACTTTGTACTATTCTTGTGTAAGAGGAACCTTTGAACTGTTGGGAACCCAAGAGACATGCTACATTCAACTGCCCTCAGGAGGGAAAGGGCTTAAACAAGAAACAGACTTGCTTATGACAGTGTATGTATCAGGCTGTCTTTCAGACTCCCCCGGAAAACATGAGGCTGTTGGTGACAACATGGCAGCGTTCTCCTGCGCCAGCTCAGCGCAGAGTCTGAGGAGGGGCGGGCACCAACTTTACAGCACATATAAACTGACTGAGAGAACCAGAATAATGTAGAAACAGGGTCTTTCCACGTAGCCCAGGTTGGCCTTGAAGTGAGATCTTTCTGCCCACTCTTCCATGTTACAGGATTACAGGCAGAGCTACCGTGCCCAGCTCCTAGATCTTAAAACAAAGCCTACAGAATAAGAGTGACAGCCCACGGGGAAGGTCTGCACGAGCATAAATGAATTTAAAGGGATGATCTGCAGGATCACCTTTAAACAGACTTGTTCTGTTTACCTGATACGAAGAATCTGAACAAATATTTCTCAGGTAAATAAAAACTTGAAGAACAATAAAGTACAAATATTTAAAGATAAAATATAAAAAATAAAAAAGGCTTGAAAATGAGCAAAAATAGGATAAAAACCATACAGATGTTCTTTCTCTTCTGGACCATGGTTTTTAATATTCTGTTACCCAATTCCAGATAAAAATGCTAATTTTTCTGGGTTCTGTGCCAGCTTCTCTAAGTAAAGTTCTTGCGTACGACTGTTTTCAGCTTCTTTGATGCCCTGTCAGGAATAATGCCCGGAGGAACAGACAGGCCCCAGCAAGGCAGGAGACACGGTGCCGCTGTAAAGAAATCCACGTTTGATTCTGTCTAATGTAATCCTGTTTTCCCAGCAGCTACTCACTAACACCAACATCACACTTCCCATGTCCCCTTGGCACAGTACATTATAATGTCAGGGTTTCCAGGGAATAACCCTCAACACAGACTGTGACTCCAGCAGCCAGCCTAAGCTGTCGGTGGACCAGAGACCAACACTATCAGAAGATGGCACCCCGGATCACAGGGAGCATTGGGATTAGTGTCATTTGCCGATCTACGGAATCCTGCTTCCGTCTGGAATCACAAGACAGGCTTCGTACATCCATACTCCACTATCACCTGCTGCCCCTGCAGCAAATGCTCGACTTTTCACACGGAATAAACTAGATCCCCCATGATAACTGGCCTGGGCTACCTAGGAGGCCACCCTGCCTGCCAGCCAGGCTCAGGCCTCCTCTGTTGCTGCTTCTGGCTTCCTCTCTTCCTTGACACACACTGAGTAGCACACCTGTTTACATTCCTTTTCTCGGAATGAATATGCATTGAGTCAAAGCATAACAAAGCCATCTTCAGACAGCATTGTTTTTCACTGGGAGAATTATGAACACAATTTAAAATCTGAATGTCTTCATTGGGAAAACCAAATAAAAGCATCTCAGAAAGGTATTCCATAATTACCCAATGAAACTGATGGAGAATGGTTTCTTTTATAATTCTGTTGTTATAAGTTTATCACACCAGTAGGATAAACTTTCTAGACATATAATAGAACACAGCCTAATTAGTACCAGGGCTGTGCCAGAGCCAGCAACACATCATACATACATAGGTACATACACACACACACATGTATATTATAGTTTATCGCTGGTGAAGGCAGGGAGTGTTCTAATTATACAGGTGAAAATCAAGTTAAGTAAAGCACCCTGGCAAGCTGGGGGAGACTTTAGTTCTGTGTTCATGGCCTATTGTTATTAAGTATTCAATTAGAATTTACTGCGGAAGAATCCAATTCCGTTGAATTTACTGTAGAAAACTCACAAACTTTTTTCTCACAAAGATTATTGTATTATTTAGAAGTTTTACAGACTTATTGACATGATCAAGAAAAGGACAAATTAAAAATGTGCAGCTAACATATTTATAAAAATGACTTTCTTTTAGAATTTCTGGAACATTTCATATAAGAAAGCCTGCTTTTCTCAAAGTTTACACTTGGAAAGTACATGAAGCAGCAGAAAATGCTTTCAGACTTTTAAAAGTATTTAAAGAAAAAGAAATAGCTGCTTCTAATCTAGCCAGAATTGCAATTCTGATTTAAAGGGAAAACCTTGTGATTTATTTTTCTTTGGGCATGACTCACATAGGCTGGGTATGCTTGGATGCACACTGCGGGAGGCCAGCGGCGAGTGCCTCTGTGTACTGCGTGGTCCACTTTGATTATTACTTTCACCAGCTTAAACTCTGTAACATTTAGGCTGAGACTTTGAAACAACCACAGGCTCTGTCCAGCCCAGACAGGAACACAGATTTTAAATCAAGTAAAGGAGTAAAAAGTTACAACACCACAACACAAAGCAGAGAAACCCTGGGTATCGAGTCGAACAACTATGGCACAGCAATAAATACACTGATTACGTACCAAGCTCAGCCGAGGAAAGCTCCTCCTTGCCCTCTCCTCTGCCCAGTCCCTTGTGAAGTCCCCTCAAGGTACTCTCCGCCACAACTCAGTCACCGCTGCTCAAGCCAGCAGCGCGATTTCAGTGCATATTTTACAACGAGGTTGCATACGATATCTGGAAACTCGGGGGACATTCTGATGACGAGATTTCAAGATGACATGATTGTTTATAATCAATTTGTCTTTAAAGAAAGAGTTAAATACTTCAGCACCCACACCAGCTTCCCTGCTGAGTAAGACTTTTTTATAAAGCACAATCAAACTTCTGAGCTGGAAGGTGCCTATGAAGGATTGGCAGTGTGGCCAGCACAGGCTGGGAGGGCCGAGTGTCAGGGGTAGCACCATGTACTAGAGGGACCCTTGGGACCCGGGAGACGCTTGGGTCAAACTCATTGATACACAGTGGTGGAAGTCCGTGTTTGCGGAAGATCCTTGCCCTCTGCTGCTCCTGGGGCAGGGGAGGTGCCCTGCTTGTTACCATCTGATCGGCAGTGGTTCCGCTTATCTGTGTGGCATCTTCATGGGTGGACTGGGCTGACTGACACCACCTACGAGAGTTTACAGCCCCACAAGCCTGGCACACAGCAGCAACAAGGACAGTTCTTGAATACAGGGATGGGAACACAGGCCGCAGCTGGGCACTTCACCCTCCCAGTCACACTCTGGGGGTCTCACAGGAGGGAGAACAGCATGGTTAGTACGCGGTTAGAGTCAGAAGTCACAGCAGGAGCGGGGAATGGCCTGTCTGTATCAGTGCCAAGGCTTCCTGCCTGCACTTTGGCTAGGTTCCTCTAAGACTGAAAAGTGAATGCGGTTCCCAGTGTTGGCCTCGGAAGATGGAGAGAGATGACTGAATTGAAAGCAGGCTGAACTGGTAATCGAGCTACTTCAGCCACTGATTTTTGTTAAATGAAGGAAAAAAAAGTCTTAACAGGCAATTTGCACTGGCAAGTACCGCACGGTGGACACCACCACTGAGGTTCTTAGAGATGTCAGACGTTAATGAGTCTGAGCCCTTCGGCAAGTTCAAACTTCTGAAGCCAGAGTTTGCTCTCTTTTTAACACTGACAGTCTCAGTGGGGTCTGTCACTTTGACATGGTCGTTACTGCATGTGAGTCACCAGTGGTCTGGGTGTTCTGGATCTGGAGCTCCCAATACCATTTGGAAAGCCGAGTCCTTACAAATCTTCAATGTTATGTTACTTGTTAGAGAAAAGAATAGAAACTGCTCATAATTACCTAGCTTGTGTGCTTTACGGTGCCTTTTCAAACTGAGAGTATAAATCATCGTACATAAAATCAAAATAGTTAATATATGTTTTCTGGCACTTTCTAGAAATTAGGCATGAACATAAAACATCTTATAAATTTATATAATAAAATAAATGTATACACTTTACTCTTAGATTACCATTGAAGACAGGAAAGTCACACATGTGGGCAGCAGAGATCACTGGGAATACAAATTCATGTTCGCAGCCCTTTGAGGATAGACACCATGGCTGCTGTCCGCACATGCGGTCTGGGTCCCAACATAAACATTAAGGCTCTGTTTAGAAGGAAGAGCGCTGGGCTTAAACAACGTCAGAAGTACCATGGTTGTCACTGGGAGTTCCGAAACTCTGACAAGGTTTCCGAACACTGTGGGGGAAGGTTTGAACAGGAAAAATAGGAAAAGCATCTAAAGTACCTCAAATACAGTGGAAAGATTGCAAGTGCGCTGTCACAATTAGGAGAAAAGACCCCAGAGCCTCCAGGGACACCCCACCCCCAACCTCTATAGCCTGTACCGTCCAGATGCCCAGGGACAAACAGGGAGATCTGGGAAGCCGGTGGGACCAGTGGCCTGTTCTCACCATCCTAGCATCCAGCGGAAGATGGTGCCAAGCCTGTGGGAGACCCTCCTTGGGATGAACCACAGATGTGGCCCGGTCACAAGTGGTGGAAGGCAGGATGATTTAGCTCTGGTGGCAGAGGAGGAGAGTGAGGAAGGAAACCTGGCTCCACAGGGCGGCAGGTATCCCAGGCAGATGGAATTTCAACACTGGCCGGTGGAGCTTCCCCTCACAGCCTGCCTTCCTCTGTGGGATGTGGAGGTCACATCTACCCGGGGTTCCTCGTGAGCATGGGGTCCTGCCCTGATAGGTGGGTCCATACCTTACTGCTTCAGAAACTGGGGAACAGCTGTGACCCTGTGCTTGACTTGGGTTAACTAAAGCAACATGACATTGATGTCTTATCATTCCACAGCCGAGTGGTCCTGGATGAGCCCTGATCACAGGCTCTGAGACTTCTGGGTTGCTAAAGCCTGGTGATATCTCTGCAGTGCTGCAAGTCCCCAATACTCTCGTAGTCATTCTCCTTGGGGACGAGGTGGCCATTGGTCTCCAGAGGGACCTTTTCTTCCTCTCTGTTTAGATTGTGTATGGCTTCATAGTCAGGCTCGGGTTCCTCACTGGGCCTCCTTGCTGGGAGAGGTGTGCAGAGGCTGTTGGGAGATTTCTCGAAGTCTTTCACAGTGGCATAGAGGTCATTACAGGAAGAGGATGACCTCTGAGGGGGTCCCTGCATGGACTGGAAGGTCAACTCTGGCCCTTTTGGAGACGGTCCGGGTTTGTGTGCTGACTGTCCGAGTTTATTCACTGAGGAATACATGGCCGAGATCTAGGTAGGGAACAAGGAGAAATGAACTGCTGGCTGGAGCGGCCTCCCTCCTCCCCACTAGGTGCCCCCTCCTCCCCACTAGGTGCTCCCTCCTCCTCACTAGGTGCTCCCTCCTCCTCACTAGGTGCTCATAAACATTGCCCCACCCCGTGAGTCACCTTTGTCATCCACATTAGATCTGAAGTATGGAACTAGAGAATAATCACACTATCTTCCTTTCTATAGATTAGTCATATTTGACTAACTCTATAAACCCAATTTTGTGGGTTTCTCGGAAGACCAGATGGAGCTACTGTGGCTAGTGGAAAACTGGTAGGGGGAAAGCCGGAGACTCACAGGGCTTCAGTGGGAGGGGATGGGAGGGGAGGGGCCATGAGGGGCACTCCAGAGATGGAGGTGTGAGGCAGAAAGCTGGGAGGCCCCTGAAGGGCCGTGGCAACTGGTTGTACCTGGGAGGATGGGGAAGCAATAGGAATCAAAGATGACTCCTAAGTTTTGCCTTCTGCAGCCAAGGAGACGGGTAACATTTCCCTTCCTTGGGAAGGAGTACGTGGGGCCTAGGCAGTGTCATCTGAAGAAGGCACATCTTGAACTCACTCTTCATCTCCCTACACTGCACTCAAGAGCTCCCAGCCAGGGACAAAGCCCCCACATTGGGCATTCCTCTCCAGCCACGTACAGCGGAAGTAGGGATGGTGTCTGGTGCTCCGTGCCCCACTGGGCATTCATTCCTCTCCAGCCACGTACAGCAGGAGTAGGGAAGGGGTCTGCTGCTCCATCTGAACCTAGCGCCATGTGTGTCATGGTCATGGCTTCTACATTTGGGAGGCACCACATAAGTCTCAGTTTTTACCCTCGTTCTTGGAAATCTACCATTTGTTTTTACTGGTGGCTTCAAGCAATGTTAGTCTTAGCCTGATTTCATTTTTCCTGAAGCGACCAGCATCCAACATTCCATTCAGAGACATTTTCCAATATTCTAGGCGGGATGAAATTCCCTACTCCCAGCCATCCTGACTTTGGGAATTTTCCAGCCCACTGACAATTTCCTTCTAGGGTGGCCCACCCTGGCTGTTGACTAAAGTGCCCTCCTTCTTTTCTGATCCTAGTTCTCCCTCCTCTTCATGACTGTCCAACCCTTCCTTCTGCACTGAGCGAGACTGGATTCCCTGGAGTTGGTGAGACAGGGTGTTGCCAGCTGCCCAGCCTGGGCTGTGGAACTGAACTCCTCTACAAGAGCAGCGCATGCTCTGAACTGCTGAACGAGCCCTCCAGCCCCTTGATGTCTCTATTTTTTAAGCACTTGTTTTTGGTTATTTGAAAACAACTGAAGTTTACCTCCTCTTCTGTAAGATTCGGGTCTTCTTCCCGAGACTTGTATGACAAGGAACTAAATCTCTGTCAAAAAATACAAATTAAAGTAAAGCAGTTTGAACCCGATAGCTGATCCTATCTACTGCGCATATATGTCCATGTCTAGACCAGGGCCTTCCGGGATCTCTACAGACTTCATGTATGCCCATGTCTAGACCAGGGCCTTCCGGGATCTCTACAGACTTCATGTATGCCCATGTCTAGACCAGGGCCTTCCGGGATCTCTACAGACTGCATGTATGCCCATGTCTAGACCAGGGCCTTCCGGGATCTCTACAGACTGCATGTATGCCCATGTCTAGACCAGGGCCTTCCGGGATCTCTACAGACTTCATGTATGCCCATGTCTAGACCAGGGCCTTCCGGGATCTCTACAGACTTCATGTATGCCCATGTCTAGACCAGGGCCTTCCGGGATCTCTACAGACTGCATGTATGCCCATGTCTAGACCAGGGCCTTCCGGGATCTCCATAGACTGCAGGCCATCATGTGTCTCTTGAGTAAGCTGCTGGCACACCGTGACTGCCCAGCCACACCACTGCTGTCTAGAGGTCTAACACTTCAGTGTGCAGTGGAAATCAGTCAGTGATTTCCAAACCCATGGTTTTGGTTCCTCATCACCAAGGGAGAGATGACGGGCTTTGGGGAGGGTGATAGTATATCACCCTTCTATACAACACGCCAGCATGCCACATCTGAGAGCCTGCCAGTATCACCAGGGAGAATGCCCATAGATCTCACAATTTCTCCTGGCCTTGTTTCTCAGTGATCCACAGATCTCACCCCTTCCCCTACCTTGTTTCTTAATTCTATAAGTTGGGCTCTGGCTTATTAACTATTTCTAACACTTAATTCTTGATTCTAACAAAAACATACTCATCCCACCTTCTCTCCCTGACTTTGACAGCTTGTTTCACCATCCCCCAGCGACTTTTCACTGAGCCAGGCCTTTAGTTACCAGGGCCCTCTCTGTCCTCCATCATCCCAGTTCCTAGAAATCCTTTCAGGCTAGCATTCATCATCCAAACTCTTCTTTTTAGATCGGATTTCAAGGATTCAACAACACAGTTGTGATGCAACTGTCTTTCCTGTTTCCCCTCCTGGGACCTCTCCTTCCCGCTTTAGCAAGTGTTGCTCTGTAGTCAGTCCTAAGTGGGGAAGCTTAGGTTCCTTCCCTGTTCTGAGATAGTGGGCAGGCCCTCAGAGTGGCCTGTGCCTTAGGTACTTCACTAAGACATCCTGCATCCCGTCCTTCTTGCAGCCCATCGACTTGGTAGCTTCTCATCCTCCTCACCCACCCGCCATAGCGCTACCTCAGTCACCTATGGATGGCCCCGCTTCTGGATTCTCTGAGAAAACTGAAAGGGGAAAATACATTTCTCTGGACTCTCCCTTGCCCCATAACAGCCCTGGTGTCCTTCTATCCCCTCCCGGTTACCACACGTGAACTTGCTTGGCATGTGCTGCTCTCGGCCGTCCCTGCTACACATTGGATTATGTCTCACACTGCATGTGAGTGCTATTCTGTCTCTCTCCCACTGTCTCCATCACTAGACCTTCTCCCTCGGTGGGGTCATCTCCACCAACACATAAACGTGTTAGACACCAAACAAACAGACAACTATACTTCCAGCTCCATCTTTCCCTCACTATTGTCCAGAGAAGCCTCAGATAACTTTCCTCTGCCAATCACTTCAGCTGAGTATCTACTTTCACACTATTCGTCTTGGTCCCAAATGATGACCACAGCAGAGTGATGGCTTGTCCTGTGTGTGCTCAGGTCTCCAGCAAGTCCCGCCCTCTTTCCTGGTTTTTGTTCTTATTTTGGTTTCTTCTGCTGTCCTCCCAACCCCAGATCCCTGTTCTTAGGACTCTTCCGGTCCTAGTAGACACGCCTCCATTGCCATGAGCTTAAACAGTTTGGCGGCTAATTCTGAACCATGTGACTCCAGCCCCAGCTGCCCTGAGGTGTGTCAGCACCAGGGCCAGTCCTGATCTCTAGCGGAACACTACTCGAGCAGAGGACTGCGGCTCACCCTAGCCCCTGCCCTACTGGGATACTCTATCTTGATTTGCGGTGGTTCCTTGTGCCCACAGGCTGTGCCAGCCCTCAGCTCTTGGTCTCTTCTGCTGCCTCTGTCTTGCCCGGAGCCCCTCTAGTTATTAGAGCAGAGGAAGCTTTCAAAGCATGGATTATACTGTTGCTTTCTGCTGCTTTCATTCAGACCACGAGCCCAGGACATAACCAGACACCTGTCTGCAAGGTCTTCTCATCTTTGCCCATCTCGGCTTACCCCAGCCCTCCCTCCCACACCAGCCACTGAGCTAGCTTGGGGGCTTCCCGAGATCAAAGTGCACAGTGCCCCGAAGAGCACCTGCCCAGATTTCTCAGGCCCCCTAGATCCTGCTCAAGAATCCCTTCACTTAGAGGGAGGAGCAGCAACTCTACCCCCACCTGACTTATGCCCAATCTTCCTTATGTGGCTTTTCCCTTTAAACTGTGTTATGTCTATCTCTTCCCCCACTAAAGCTCAAGTTCCACATGACCTGGGATTTGTATCCATTTACACTTTATTCACTGGGGTAGAACATCTAGAAGGCCATATGGCATGTAGTGGACGCTCAATAAAATCTTTTTTTTTTTTTAAATATCAAACATTTGACATTCCTAATTCGGTTAAAATTGGGATTGTTTGCATGGAAGAGGATCCCTCTTCGAGGTGAGGGATGACCGGATCCTGAGATGTGGGTCTCCAGTCCCTAACGTGAAATATGGAGAACTGCTCATTAACAATAGAAAGCAACCCTTCTATCTTCCGAATGCTCACTAAGAAGAGCTTCGCTAGTCCAGGCAGCGTACACTTACGTCGCTTTCCTTGTCTTTGGTTATAGGAACGGCAGAAACTTGGATTTTACCGCAGCTTATGAACATGTTTGCAAATACCCCGGAGGTGCGTGCGGCCGCCGATTTCACAGATACCATGAAAAGTTGAGACAAACTCAGAAGAGTGTGAAGAATGACTTCATAGACAGCCACAGGAAGGTTGAGCATGCCCTCCCTGCAGAGGCTGGACGTGAACTTACGACTGGAAGATAACCTGACATTTATCTCTGTAGATAACAGGAAACCTTATTAGCTGACGGAAGCGGGGTGGGCCTACTTAAACACTGGGGCATTTCGACATCCAATGTGAGGCTCCCTGTGGCTCAGAGGCTGTTGAGACACATGTGCCAAAGGCTGCGGACTGCTGATGGATCTTAGACCTCTGCTGACTAAACTTTTTAGAAATTACTTAAAAATATTACATAGAAACTAGTGAAAAATAAGACCCGTTAGTTGGTTTAGAGGAAAATACATACAACAAGCTGTGAGCAGAGACACTGAACATCTGGACTGTCTGCACAGGCCAGAGTGCTTCCAGCTGTGGGGTTCTGAAGGGCTCAAGTTATGCTGCCCAAGGAAGCCACACAGAGAAGACAGGCTCTGTGGGGCAAAGAATCTTGCCTATTTAGTTCTTAGTGACACTAATATTGATTTAATAACATATAATATAAATGCTGGAAACTACCCAAATGAGATATGAGAAAGATTTTGTAGGCATAAATCTTCAGCATCTTAAGACTTAGAGGGTGAACCGGCCAACCACAGCTTACACTAGCCCGGATCACGTCTCATCATTTCATGAACCTGCTAGTATCATATATACGTCCCAGGACCCGGCAACCTTTCCGTCAGGACAAAAGCCCACCTTGTTGTGTCCACTGGTCCCCTCCAGAGCTTGCTCTTCTGCCTCTGCCTCTTTCTTCTTTGGAAGATTTGCGTTCTCATCCAGAAGTTTAACCGGGACAGGTGGGGGGACTTCCTCTTCCGGGTCACTGGACGCTCCCAGAATGCTCTCTGCGTTGACGCTCTGGCGGCACTTCTTGTTTCTGTCCACAGAGGCATACTCAGCAAAGTCGGGTTTGCCCTCTGCGGGGGCGCCCTGAAGCTCCTTCAAGGCGGACGTGGACTTGGACTTGCCAGCCTGGCCTTTATCTGCCACCTCCTTGATCTCCTTCACAGTTTCATATAGGCAGTCCTCCACCATGTTCTCCTGGGAGGAGCTATCCTTGAGCACCTCGTAGGGCCCCTCCATGCCGGGCCCCGAGTCCCCCTCCACCACCCTGGCTGTGAGCATGGCGTCCACGGCGTTCTCTGGGGGGATCCTTGGCAGCTCCCGGCTCTGATGACTCTTGGGCTTTCCTGTGCTGTCCTGGGAGTCCAGAAGATCGGAGGCCGAGGTCTGAACTTCCTCATAATGCTGCATGCAGGTCAAGGTGCTATCTTCTGAAAGAACTGAAGAGGGCGGGTGTTAGCAACAGAGGAAGAGCACCTCTTAATAACCAGTGTAGGGCGCCACGATGCTAGACCATCAAGCCCGTGTTAACTAACCTGATGCTCAGCCACATCCCATTCCATTTAAAGGGAAGCCAGCCTTGTATTCCAGGTCCATGATTTAATAAACGATGTGGGCTAGCTACACTCTGACTCATGGTTCCTTTTATTACTTACTGTTACTCCTGCTGAGACCCACGGAGGCAGAGGGCCTGACAGCGCACAGGGTCAAAGAAACATTCCAGGCAGGGCCAAGTGCTTAAAGCGGCTGAGGCAGGAAGACTGAATTCAAGCGCAGACTGGGTAACTGGCTTAGTGCTAGAGTGCCTGCCTGTAGCTCACACCAGGACCTGCCTCCACCCCCAGGTTAGAGAACAAGCGAAGTTGACAAAATACCAAAAATGGGGCATGCGTGTTACCCTCGTCTAACTGGTCCTTGCCTCTGAGGGAGTAGGCGCTCTTCTTGGCCCGTCCCTTGTCACAAGTCACTTTCATCTGGCTGTTAGGACAGAGGTGGAGCAGCAGCAATGCACCTTAGATCTGTATCACCAAGGGCCAGACACTGTGCCTAGGCCCCACATTTTTGCCTCACAGAGGCCCAGCCAGCATGTCCCTGGACTGCCTCTAAAATGGTAACCATGATTCCTGGCAGTCAGTCCTTATCACATGGATTTTGAGTGTTGGCCAGATGCCAGGGACTGTTCAACCCGGTACAGACCCAGAGGTGAGCAGAATAGAACCTTCTCTCAGAATTCTCACAGCAAAACGACAAGTTCTTACTCAAGTAGACCTCACTGTAGGGAGATCAGAGACAGTGTACCAGCTGGGAGGGCTCCCGAGGCCTTCACCTAAACCACGAAACAAAACAAAACTCCAGCAACACCAACAAACCAAGAAAACCGAAACAAGAAAGGGGGGGCATGTGGGAAGAGGAAGTGGTAGGAGTGTGGGTGGGGGGTGAGGGTAATGAGGGTGGATGTGATCACAATACATTATATCCACGAATGGAAATGTAAAATAAACTGCTAGGAAGAAGAACAGAAAAAGAAACATGCAGGATAATGCTGTATCCTCAACACTCTGGATTTAGCATTCCCAGAGTTCCAGGTCCTTCTGATCCCGCAGGACAGCTCCTGCTGGGCTCCAGTTATCTGGTCCCAGAACAGAGGGGCACTAGCGTTCTGTAGACCCCTGAGTTTCCTTCATAAAGGGGGAAGGAAGAAGCCTTGCCCTAGGGAATGCAAGCCACATGGACAGCAATCATTGCGACTACGCCTGTCAGTCAGTGTATACCGTATGTCAGACAGAATGGTGTATACAGAATGCTGAGTGCCTGCCCTGGAATCACGCTGCCTGGTTCACGTTACAGATCCCCAAGCTCTGTGATAATCAAACCTTGGTCAGGTTATTAATGGCTGTGTGACAAGGATGTGACTTCCCAAAGATGTCCTCATCCCAGTCTATGGAAACTACATGCTGTGTCACGTACCAAATTGCATGCATGCGTGCGTGCGTGTGTGCACGCATGTAGCGTGTAATCGGCTGACCTTGAGAGGGGTAGAGGAACTTGGTTACCTAGACAAGCCCAAGGGATTACACACGGTCCCAAAGGGTGGAAGAGGAAGGGCAGTAAAAGATTCAGAGATTCAGGGAGAATCCATGGACTACGGGATACGGCAAGAAGTGACTCTCCAGTAGCCCCTAGCAGGAGGTGGAAGCAGGCTTGCGGACATCTGGATATTAATACTGCTCACACTTTTGACCCTGATAGTCGTAAGTTAATGAACTTTCTCCACTCAAGGTCTGTGGTGCTGTGATGCGCAGCTGGGGGCCGGAGACGGGGACTGAGTGCTGCCTGTCAATGGGGGACTCAGTGAGGAGTAGACGCTTTCAAGGCTGGAGCAGGTGACTCTACCCACTTCTAACAGCCAACAACCAGATTCCTGGTGTCTTTATGTAAATTAGACTTCTGGCTAAGACTAGTGGTCATAGTGACCAGGTAGAGTATACCCTTAGTTTCTGAGCTACCTTTTTTCTTTATTCAGAAAATGAAATCTTTATTTCACATGTCTGGTGTTCTGCCTGCATATATGTTCGTGCATCACTTGCAAGCCTGGTGCCTGTGGAGGGCATTGGATCCCCTGGAACTGCAGTAGTGGATGGTGGTGAGCTACCATGTGGGTGCTGGGAATTAAATTCAAGTCCTCTGGAAGAGCAGCAGCAGTGGTGATGGTGGAGGTGGTGGTGGAGGAGGAGGTGGTGGAGGTGGTGGTGGAGGAGGTGGTGGAGGAGGTGGTGGTGGAGGAGGTGGTGAAGGAGGAGGTGGTGGAGGAGGTGGTGGTGGTGGAAGAGGTGGTGGTGGAGGAGGTGGTGGTGGTGGAAGAGGTGGTGGTGGAGGAGGTGGTGGTGGTAGAAGAGGTGGTGGTGGAGGAGGTGGTGGTGGTAGAAGAGGTGGTGGTGGAGGAGGAGGTGGTGGAGGAGGAGGTGGCGGAGGTGGTGGTGGAGGAGGTGGTGGTGGAGGTGGTGGTGGTGGAGGTGGTGGAGGTGATGGTGGAGGAGGTGGTGGAGGTGGTGGTGATGGAGGTGGTGGTGGAGGAGGTGGTGGTGGTGGTGGTGGGGGAGGAGGTGGTGGTGGTGGTGGTGGGGGAGGAGGTGGTCGTGGAGGAGGTGGTGGTGGAGGTGGTGGAGGAGGCGGTGGCAATGGAGGTGGTGGTGATGGAGGTGGTGGAGGAGGCGGTGGCAATGGAGGTGGTGGTGGATGTGGTAGAGGTGGTGGCAGTGGTGGTGGGGTTCTGACAGTGGTGGCCCTAACTGCTGAGTCATCATTTCAGCCCCGTGATCCACCTTATTTGAAACCTAGTACGTTCACAGTGATATCTCTGCAGAACTTACTGTCGCCATTGGTGAGCACCCCGTTCTGTTCACTGCTGGCTAGGGCATCTGTTGTCAGGCTGGTTGCTGAATGGCTGAACATCTCCTTGTCAGAAGGCTGAAAAATCCAAATACATCTTTTGGTAAGAATCTGCTGTGTACCAGAGGAGGACACTCCTAAAATCAAAGCAGTCAAAAGCAAATCCCAGAATCCATGAATTAAATTAGGTGAGTCCCATGGATAACTTAGCCACACTCAGGTGTCAACGTGGGGACCATTCTGAGCGATGGAGAATGGCTAAGCCTATTTTTGAAGGTGTGGTTCTGGATTCTCAGGGGCACTGGGACTCTTCCGGGGCTTCAGGCAGTGCATCTCACCTGGTGGTTACAAGTGGGCTACAGACACACTGTTTTCCTTAGCACACGGCAAAAGGAGACCACAAACTCTTGTGGTCAGAACAGATTCCAGCAGGGACCAATGTCATCTTTGTAACACAGGTATTGCCAAACAAACAGCAAAGCATCACTGCTCCTCCAGACAGGAGGAGACTGAGTCTGTACCGTATTTAAAGCCATACATTTCTGAGGCTATTTCAGAGCTAGTCTCTGGCTTCAGGCGTCACCGAAAGGATCATCTACTGAGAGATTGCTTTGCGAATCTTTCCTGTTCTAAAAGACACAGAGGCACTTGGAAGGACAGGCAGTTTGCTCCTCTGGGGTGATGGTGGTGTACAGACACTGTCTGGAAGGAACTACATGCTAGGTGGAGTTGTCACAAGGGGCATGCAGAAACAAGCTGCTCCTAGATGCAGGTTACGCTACTGGTCCCAGAGAGCAACCCAGATGGGCACACGATGGACCCCATCCTTTTCACGTTCATGGCTTCTGCTGCCCAAGACACAGCCCGAGCTCCAGGATATCACACGGGAAATTCTGATGTGTCCTGCAGAGAAATCTTGGGTAGTTGGCCTCACAAACTTCCTGACTCTGATGAGAAATCAAATAACAGATGGAAAATGGTCCCGATGTGTGGTGATGCCCGAGTGTCCACGGAGTCTGCTCTACTGGGCCAGTGCTACTCACACCTGCTGCTCCATGATCCAGGTGCTCACACTATAGAAACAGTGTCCTTAGGGGAGAGGACTGGGTATCAAGGGAAGGCTTCCTGTAAAACTTGCCATGGCCAGACTTCCATAATCTATGTCTGAATGACATTTTGATGGAGGAGGGTCATCTGTCTATCTGTTGTTTCATTGGTTAATTAATAAAGAAAACTGCTTGGCCTGATAGGTCAGAATATAGGTAGGCAGGGAAGACAGAATACTGGGAGGAAGAAGGCAGTGAGGCAGACGCCATGATTCTTTGACCCAAGATGGATGTAGGCTAGAATCTTTCCCGGTAAGCCACCACCTCGTGGTACTACACTGATTATTAGAAATGGGTTAATCAAGATGTGAGAATTAGCCAATAAAAGGCTAGAGCTAATGGGCCAAGCAGTGTTTAAATAAATACAATTTGTGTGTTGTTATTTTGGGTGTAAAGCTAACCATGTGGGAGCCGGGCAGGTCGAAAAGCAGGCCTGCTTGCCCCATCACTACAACATTTCCCACCTCCACAGAAACAAATCTGCAAACTGTGATGATCTAGCAAACTCAGGAACTAGGTGGACAACAGCGTGTGCAGGCCTCATGCGGCCAGTATCGCCACATCCTTGTGAGTGCACACCGTGAGAACACACCGTAGTGTACACAGTCATGTGTTGGCGCATGGAGAATCCCATGAGAGGAAGAAGATGAAGAGACTGCCTTCTCCTCTGCTCATCTGCTCCACTCACCAAAGGCTGCTGACCTCAGGCACAATGGCAGGGACAGACCAAGAATAGGGATCCACACTGGTACCTACACCAGAGTTGGTCTCATCCCTGGAACACTGGCTTCCTATCTGCTCCCAGGTGGTGCTATTGCTAATGGTCCAGCCATACCTGACCCTTGTTCTAGGAGGAAATGAGGGTAGAGGAGGATGCCTAGCTTCAGGCAACAGCTCACGATCCACCTCACTCTGAGGAAGGTGGTAGGTGAAGAAAACAGGGCTCCATCCTTCTACTCCCTCCCCCATCGTACCAGCAATCACAGGCAGAGATGGAGAAGCTGGGAACAGAGAAGTGGGAACAGCAGAAGATGTGAAACTGTGAGAGAATCAGTCAAAGGAGGGGGGGGTTGCTGAGGGTCAGGACAGTGGGGCTCACACAGACACCCAGTACCCTGGGTTCTAGGAGGAGCCAAGAAGGGAATCCTGACAGCTTCCTACCTGCTTGGGTCACAGACACACAGGGAAGTGGGGGTACAGGCAGTCTGGTGTCTACTGCATGAGCTCTGAACACACCAGTTGGGTGCAAATATACTGATTCCACAGAGATAGACAGACTTGCTTCCTTCGTGCTCTGACCAGGAAGCAACTTCTCTCCTAGGATTGCCCTGGGGCTGGGGGCGGGCTGCAGAGACAGCTGCTGGGGCTGTGCTACCGCCTAAGGGCACAACCTGAGTCAAAGGACAGGCAGACTGTGACACCCTCAGGCTGCTCTTCACCCAGGTGGGTAGATCCCACTGAGATCTCACCAAATGAGGACTGGGGAAGGCAGCAAGGCCAGGCTGTGCCGTGGGCCCCAGGCCCTGGTGTGTGGTTGTATTTCCACGTGAATCTTGGTCTCCAGTGCTGCAGAGTGCACTTTATCTGAGAACCAGGACACCTCTGATGGCGCTGGTTAAGACTGAGGTTACACCAGAGTCTCATACATTTGGTATCTTTATGAAGGTAGGGGACTTGGCCCTAAGGGCAGACATTTGGAGAGGGAAAGGCAGCATGAGGGACAGAGGTGGAGACAAGGACCAGGTGTGAACTAAGGAACTGAGCCTGGGGACAGGTCCAACTCAGGAAGGACCTAACGTGACAACACCGTGGATGCTGGACTCTGCTCTCCAGAGCAGAGAGAGAATAAATCCCATCTGAGTCATCCAGTTTGTTCTTGTGACAGAAGACGTCCCTGCAGCAGGCTGGAGCCCAGTCCGGTGACAGCCTTTCCCTCAGAGGCGGAGCACACAGCTCCAGGCCGTGGGTACACACAGCCACCGCTCATTTCCACTTTCTTCTACGTGCCAACTTCACTCGGGTCAGAAGCCAGCAGCAACATTCCTGGATAGGTGTCACTGGACAGACAGACGGACAGACACATCACGGCTTACCACGTTCATCAGATTCTCATGGTCCCCGCTGTGTTGCTTTGGCTTCTTTTCTCTGAAATGAAAAGAAGACAGATGTGTCCACGCTTTTCTAGCCCAGTGTTTATCTGGTTTTATGAACTAGGTTTATTTTGCTGAGAGAGAGGAGAAGAGTCACAACTGACAGCCAAGGATGTGTCCCCTTCCTGCACACCCTTCCCCGTGAGCAGAGGAGGATGGAGGCACGCTGCAAGCAGGATCTGGCTGTGCCCAGAGGGCGCAGATGGCAGACGGTGCTTTTTCTCGTCAGCGAACCCTAACAATCATCTCATCTTCTCCCTTAAGAGTCTGTGGAGTCACCCAATGTGAGGGAGGAGAGAAGGTACAGGAGATACAACACTGCATGTCCGTCAGGAAGGTGACAAGCTCGCAGGAAGAGTCACGGGTACTTCTAGTCTGTGGAAAAGTCCAGTGAGTAAAGATACGATGCATTTCCTAGCACAGACATTTCAAAGAAAGCTATCAGCAGTAAAGACGGTGTTTCTGCCATGGTGAGGAGAGGGTGACACCTAGCTGGAGAGTGAGTCATGGCAGCAGAATTCTCAGGCCCCTGGGAGCTAGAACTAGGACCTCCCCTGTTCTCTCTTCTTGGAAGCTCCACCTAGCCCTCAAGGCCTGGGTCCATGCTTGGCGGGGATCAGGATAGGCTATACAAGGTTTGGATTTTCCATTCTTGACAGATTTTAGGGTGGGATCCTTTTAAATATCAGCACATTTCTTCTCAGCTTGAGCGAACTGGGTATGGCTGGCTAAGTTGGTCCCCACGGCTCTGTCAATACCCCAAAGCTGCAGACTTTGGACCATCCCTGACTCTTCTGAGTAATCACTTTTGTTTGTAAAGAACCCCAATTCTCCCTGTTCAAAGCAAGACAAGTAGTAATGCTTAAAAAGAAAAAAATTGTTTCCACATTCAGTGAGTCTGTCTTGCAGAAAAACAAATCTGTTTCTTCATAAAGGGCAACTCACCACACACATTTTTAAGAATCCATGAGCCTCCTCAGTAATGCCAACTGTGAAAAAGAGATGTAGTGTCTCACACTCAGATTTCAATCTGCCTACGGCTAGAAAAAAGACAGTATCCAAAGGATGTGCTCAAAGAGCAGCAGAGACTTTATCCTGGCATCTGAAACATCAGGAAGGACTCTTTGCTTTGCTCTCCAGGAAAGTTGAGGGTTTTCAAGTGAGTGATGGAGAATATCCTTGGAACCTTTGTGACCAACCTGTAAACATGGGCGGGGACTCTTTGGTACAAAGGCTCCTTTGGGAATGACAAGGACTATGTTTAGGTTCTAGAAGATGCATGCGTGTTCTAACCTGTCACAACTGGAGCACAGAAGGATGAGGAAGGTGAGGAGGAAGAACATGGCCACGGCAGCCAGACTTCCCCAGAGAACCATCTGCATCTGCAGGGGCCCAGCGCTCAGTGTGCTTCCTGCAGGACCCATGGTGGAGCTGGGTGGCCAGCGGAGGAAGGCAGCTCTTCACAGGCGGTCACATGGGGCTAGAGGGCTTCACCGTCCTGCAGAGACAAGGACACAGTTGCAATCGCTTCTCTAGAGAGGGTGAACGTTCCTGAGCTGAAAATCCTGAAAGAAGCCCAGAGAGGGTGAGCATTCCTGAGATGAAAATCCTGAAGGAAGCCCAGAGAGGGTGAGCATTCTTGAGCTAAAAATCCTGAAAGATGCCCAGATCTAAATTTTGAATGTGGACATGTTGCCACAGCAAAAGCTTCTGTACATGGCATCAAATGCACGTACCCTGAAACCGTAAAATTACCTTCAGCTCGTGTATGCAATGAGTGTGAAATACACATGAACGTCACGATCAGGCTTGAGTCTTTTCTCTGGGTCAGCTAGCCACTTCTCAGAATCTGGAAAACCTCCAGCACTCTGTTCACAAGCACTCCAGGTTGAAAATGCACAGCCTTCTGTCACGAGCAAGGTCTCAGAGTGGCCAGGGCGGTGTGTGCAGGGGGCAGGTGTGCGGTGTTTGTGTTCCTCGTGTGAGATTTCCATCAGGAACGCACCAGTGCCTAGCAGAGCCTCTGAAGCAATGGGTGCTTTATCATCTGGATATATTTGAAGGATGGACTTGTTTTGAGGGAGGTTCTTAAAGTCTTCAATGAAGATTTCAAGCACCCCAAAGCAAGGAAACACTGGACTTAATATGCCTTTATCCAGGTCAGTATAAAATGTTTGGTATACATGTATATATGTACATACATATACATCTTTAAATGTTTCAGTTAATTTTTATTTATCTAGGTGTGTGTGTGTGTGTCTCTCTCTGTGTGTGTGTACATGTCCCATGTGACAGATACAGTGACCACAAGACAACTTGTAAGTGTCAGTTCTCTTCTACACCATGGGTCTTAGAGGTAGGACTCAGGTTGTCAGGTTTGCTGCTAAGGAGCTTTACCTCTGAGTCATCTTGCCAGTGCCCTATACACGTACTCTGCAGTAATGTTATTTTCCTCCCATGCTCCACCGCCAACCGCCTGTCTCCCTGTCCCACCGCCACCGCCTGTCTCCCTGTCCCACTGCCACCGCCTGTCTCCCTGCCCCACTGCCACCGTCTGTCTCCTTAGCTTCTCATGCCCATTTTTACCTTGGACAGCTTATGGCTAGTGTGGCCCACTAAACAGAGCATCTGTGCACACCTGCAGTTGGCTGTTCACTGAGAGTGTGCCTTTACTTCCTAGGAGGAGTCTTCACTAAGCTGCTACTGGGTACCCAGTAACTCATTTTCAAAGGAGAGGCTGGAAGCTCGTGCTGAGGACACTCCCTCAGTAGGAAGTGAGAAGGATTTGTGAAGAACTACAAATTCTCAGCGAGTCCCAGGAAGGCCACCAGGCGCTTCCGCATTCATTGCCACCACCACTCAGTGGGAGGCGCTGTTGGCCCCCACTTTACTGAGCAGGAAGTTGGACCCAAGCAGGGAAAGAACTCGGTCCAAGCGCCCCAAAGGATGAGTCTGGCTGCCTTGACTCCCACACAGCTGTGCTCCTGTCCTGGAGGCAACCCTGGCTGACTCGGAGCAGCTCCCTGTTTGCTCCACAATGCTTCTGAGAATGCCCAGGTACTGTTGCTAAGTATTTCAGTATTAGAGGCACATTGGAAACAGAGGAGCACACCAGGCCAACGTTATCTGTGGTAAGAGAGGTCTTATCTACACAACGACACTGATTTGGTTAGTTCCAGAACATTCTAATGGAAAGGAACAGCCTGGAATTTACTCTCAAGTGAGCAGCACAGCAGTGAAGCAATAGGTTTCTGAAACACAGACGAAGAAACACTGAAATCATGGTGACCTAGGAAACGCCTGCCATGCGTAGGTGCAAACCACGAGATACTGTAGGAAGCACAGACACAGGGCCTCTCTCTTGCACACACAGGTTTGTCTCTTCATTCACACACCTGATTAATCAACACTATGTATAAGGGACAGAATTCTTAGGAGACAGCTGGCTGTGCGGCTTGCAGCCAGCAGGGGCTTTCCAGTACTCCTCTCCATCCCTGCCTCTGGTTCCCCTAACAGGAGGGCTGATCAGATACACTGAAATATGCGGGGTGCCATCCTAGGACAGCCCAGGGAGGGAGATGAAAGGGAGTCATTACAAGCTACTGAATAAAAGATGGAACTCACAGAAAATGTGCCAAAACTCCAGGCTTACCCTTGTCAATTAGAACTTCATAAAGAGCCGCAGAAAGAAACCCTCCCCAGTTCTCAGCCCGTACAAAAATCTCACCGTGGAAAGAGCGCCTGTCTGGTAGCACCTGCTTTCCTAGTGAGCCAGCGTAAATCCACAGCCTCAGCTGCTCGACAGCTTCCACTCCAGAGCCTCCTGAGTGCTGCTTTACCGGAAGACCGAGGATACAGCAGGGTCTAGGCAGAGCCACAACAGAAAAGGTAGCAGCAATGGCCTTCTACAAGGTCCCTGGAGGGGACTGACATCAAGGGTGTGCATGTGTGCACGTGGTGTCAGGGCAGGTAGGTACCTGCACACCTCTGATTTAGAGATATTTTACTCTCTTATCTCCATTTCTTTATGGCTCTGCCCCCATAATTCTGCCTCCTGTTTCTTCCCTGGATACTACACCTTCAATTTTTATAGGCTCTTCTACAATTGAACTGTGTCTCCTGCCATCTCCCTGCCTACATTGGAGATGCGCTGTCTCCTCTTTATGTGGAAATGAAATGTCCCTTCTGTTGTGTGACTGCCCTGCCCCCAGCCCCCGCCATCGTGTGTGTGTGTGTGTGTGTGTGTGTGTGTGTGTGTACACTGTGATTTTTGTGCTGTCTTCTTAGGCAGGAAAGGGGGTACTTGAGTAAAGTGTATGTTACATCTCTGGAAAAGATTCATCAAGAATAAGTGATTTTGGAGGCTGGGTTTGGTGGTGTATACTTTTAATTTCAGCACCTGGAAGACAGAGGCAGGTGGATGAATCTCTGAGTTCGAGGTCAGCCTGGTCTACAGAGTGAATTCTAGGATATCCAGGGCTATGTAGAGAGAGCCTGTCTCAAAAAACAAAAAACCAAAACAAAACAGAACCAAAAAAGAATAGCTGATTTTGGACTGCAAATGTAAATATTTAAAAGTACTTTATGACACAGGGCACAGGAGGAGTTGTCTCTACCTATACTGTACCTTAACTGACATTACTATGACACCTGTAAGCCTTACCGTTGGAGAAGGACGCAGGTGACAATTGTGTATTTTTGCTTCATGGAGTGCTTTTTTATTTGATATGCAGATATCAATCAAATTGCAGACAGCCATGGAATAAAAATACATTGCATTCCTGAATAGGGCCAGTGGGGTTTCCTGCATCCCCCAGACCATGTCATTCTTGGGGATTGTGGGCATGCCTCTCCTTGACTAAGGAAGGTCAGCAATTCAACTTATAAAACTTCCACTGGGAATTTATTCAGAAGTGATCTATTCACTTTGAAATGTACCATACACTGGTCTTGAACTGGCTATGTAGCCGAGGGTGGCTTTGAACTCCTCCTGTCTCCAGAGTGCTGGGATTAGATGTGCGCATCACCACAGCAATCTTGCTTATTTTGTGCTGAAAACTTCACAATCTATTATTGCCCTGTCAAATATACAGATTCTATGATTTCAATTGTTAGTAAAACCACTGGCCTTTAAAACCTGATGCCATTATGAGCCACGAGGTGGCAGCATTATTCTAATTTTAGCCCCAGTGAACAGGCTTAGCCCCACAGAAGCTCTGGATAATTCTAGTGTTTGTCATGTTTGGCGTTTTAATTGTCTTCATTAGCTTGGCTTACCAGCCACCCAAATCAATTCCAACAGGAAGGAAAGCAAATACCAGACATAATTAATGAAAGGTACAGAGCATGCACAGCTGTTTACCTCTCTAGCCAAACACACTTAACAGGTAGGTGCTCTGATCACAGCTAGCCGTACAATGACACTTCACAGGCGGGCCTGGCCGGCCCACTATCCAGGCCACCACTTGCAGCTCCTTTGAAGCAGGTTTGGGTCAGTAATGATAGCTGCTCTTGTCTCACAGCTGTCCTGGGAGCCTGTAATTAGGGATGACAGAAACCACCTCCGCTGATGACCCCTCTCCAGGGACTGAGGAGGGCAGGGTGGCAGTCCCATGGGAATGGCTCCTGCCTGGCCATTACCAGGTATGTGAGCCATGTGGTGAGTGGACACATCATGGCAACAAACGAAGCGGACTAGTTAGCATCACGAGGGTCATATGCTCAGGTGGGTCCCAGTCCTGCAGGTAGTGATGGATGCAGAGACCAAGGGTAAATGAACCCAGGACAGAATTCTCATGTCATCTGTCCTAATTTCACTTCTGTCACTGTGACAAAATATCATGATGATGACAATGAAGTTGACAGCACCCCCAGCGCCCCCAGCACCTCCAACATTCCCAGCACCTCCAGCATCCCCAGCACCCCTAGCGCCTCCAGCACCCCCAGCACCTCCAGCGCCTCCAGCACCCCCAGCACCCCCAGCACCCCAGCACTCCTAGCACCCCCAGCACCGCCAGCACCCCAGCACTCCTAGCGCCTCCAGCGCCTCCAGCGCCTCCAGCACCCCCAGCACCCCCAGCGCCTCCAGCGCCCCCAGCACCCCCAGCGCCTCCAGCGCCTCCAGCACCCCCAGCACCCCCAGCACCCCCAGCGCCTCCAGCGCCTCCAGCACCCCCAGCACCTCCAGCGCCCCCAGCACCCCCAGCGCCTCCAGCACCCCCAGCACCCCCAGCACCTCCAGCACCTCCAGCACCCCCAGCACCCCCAGCACCTCCAGCACCCCCAGCACCCCCAGCACCCCCAGCACTACCAGCACCCCCAGCGCCTCCAGCACCCCCAGCACCTCCAGCGCCTCCAGCGCCCCCAGCACCCCCAGCACTACCAGCACCCCCAGCGCCTCCAGCACCCCCAGCGCCTCCAGCGCCTCCAGCGCCCCCAGCACCCCCAGCACTACCAGCACCCCCAGCGCCTCCAGCACCCCCAGCACCCCCAGCGCCTCCAGCGCCTCCAGCGCCCCCAGCACCCCAGCACCCCCAGCGCCTCCAGCGCCTCCAGCGCCCCCAGCGCCCCCAGCGCTTCCAGCGCCCCCAGCACCCCCAGCGCTTCCAGCACCCCCAGCACCCCCAGCACTACCAGCACCCCCAGCGCCTCCAGCACCCCCAGCACCCCCAGCACTACCAGCACCTCCAGCGCCCCCAGCACTACCAGCACCTCCAGCACCCCCAGCGCCTCCAGCACCCCCAGCACCTCCAGCACCTCCAGCACCCCCAGCACTACCAGCACCTCCAGCACCCCCAGCACTACCAGCACCTCCAGCACCCCCAGCACTACCAGCACCTCCAGCACCCCCAGAACCCCCAGCACTCCCAGCACCCCCAGCTCTGGGGAGGAGGAGTTTGTCTGGCTCATAATTTCAGGCTATAGGCCATCACTGAAGGCAAGTCACAGTGGCCTCATTTTGGGCATTTAGTTGCACCATATTCAGCCAAGAGCAGAGAGAAATAAATGCAAACAGTCCTGCTTGCTTGCTGTTTCCTTTCACATAGTTTGGGCCCCCTTACTAGAGAATGACACCCCCCACAGTGGGATGAGTCTTTCCGCATCATCTTAACAATCAAAACAATCTCCCACAGGCAAACCCGATCTAGACAACCCCTCAGTTAAGACTGTCTTCCCAGGCCATTCTAGGCTGTACTGTGTGGACATTTAGAAATGAACCCCCATCCTCTGAAAGAGTTTGGTTGGACGTCTTTTCAGAGGACTCTGACAGACACGGGCAAGCCTGCGAAGCAACAGCATGGAACAGGTCTGTGGCACATGCCTGAATCATGGAAGTAAGAGTTCTGTTCCACTGTGGTGTGCTGTGTGTGCATAGATGGTTATCTAGATGCTACCAAGATTGGGGCGTGGAAAAGAAATCAAAGATCAGAAAGTGTAAGAGACTCTGGGCCAAGATTCTTTCTGGCATCATTCCCTGTCTTCCTGGCACAGCTCGAGAAACATTCTACCCAGAAAGTCTCACCTCCACCAGCACAAAGGGACAGTTATGAAGGCTCACTGTTCCTAGGAGGGGGCAAGTTAGAAAACCTTCTGCCATCTGTCAGCCTGGCTTGGCTACTTCTCCTCCAGACCAGGGACTCTGACCTAGCCAGGGCGCAGGACAGCAGCCCCTGCTGGGGAGCCCAGCTGTTTTCATTTGCCAGTCCACAAATGCTAAGAGGCATGGTGGGGTTTGATGGAAGGAGAGTGACTTCCTCCTTACATCTGATGTGAATTTGGGGGAGGAGGGAAGGGACAGAGAACAGGAGGAGAGGGAAGGGTTTGTTATTTCTAGCAGCGTGCATCTGCATTCCAGGCAGAGCTCTGGGATTCACTTGCCCACATCTGGGTCAAGGTGACATAGCCCACGCTGACGCAGGTGTAGCAGGTGAAGGGGCTGTGTCTTGTCTCTGGGCCATGTGTAGGACATTTCGGCAAGCTTGCAGCTGGGACTTTGGGAATCCTTTCTTTTTGCTACATGCTTGCTTCTTGACCTAACTGAAAATGCATTTGCCTCATTCTCCTTTAAAACCTCAGCATCTTCAGGATCTGAATAATAGGTTCTGTTTTTTTTTTTTTTTTTTTTTTTTTGTTTTTTTCGAGACAGGGTTTCTCTGTGGCTTTGGTTCCTGTCCTGGAACTAGCTCTTGTAGACCAGGCTGGCTGAATAATAGGTTCTGAACGGGAGGATTTCCTTCCTGCTAGCTGCCTCTGTGGGAAGAGGAGCCTTGAAATGCAAGTGCAGCTTATGTGCAGGAAGAGAATGGCGAGTACGTGGAGCAGCTTGAGAAGCCAGTGTGTGCTGGGACCAAACCCTCACTTGGGAATGAGCACGGTGGATCCTTCCAGTGACACCCATGTTGCTCTACACACCTCGCCACCACCTGAGCAGGCCTCTCAGTGCTGGCAATCCTGTCATCAGGTCTGGTGTCTCTCCATCCCCTCTTACAGATGACCATTTCGTGTCTCCTCTCCCTTGGCGGGAGCTGGATGCTACATTTTTCAAAGGCAAGAGGGTTCTGCACATAGAAGACTGCCCGCGACTTCATCTGATGCCATCTGTCAGTGCTCAGCCCCAGAGCATTTCCTCAGGCTCCCTAAGCTCTCAGCCCTCTTGTCCTCCAGGTGCAGCTAAGGCTCCTCTCTTAGAAAGAATTTTCCTGTCTACCATGACTCAAAATTGAAATGACAAAGCATCAGAGCCTCCTCCATGGCCCTGTCTGGTGGCAGCTGCTGTCCCAGTATGAGGTGCACGGTGGCCGTTGGAATCTATCTTCAGAAGGGACAGCTCTGAGGCAGCAGAGCCCCAGGCCTTCTGAGCAGG